TTACTATTTTTCAAGTAATTTCAGCTTGAAGTTATCGATATGCTCTAGATCAGGCGTCCTCAAACTACGGCCTGTGAGCCACATGCGGGTGTTTTTGCCTGTTTGTTTTTTTATGTCAAAATAAGATATGTGCAGTGTGCATAGGAATTTGTTCATAGTTTTTTTAAACTATAGTCCGGCCCTCTAATGGTCTGAGGGACAGTGAGCTGGCCCCCAGTTTAAAAAGTTTGAAGACCTCTGCTCTACAGCTAATTTGGGGGGGGTAGCATTTCCTGAACTCCTTCAATGACTAGTTTTGTTTAATATCTCATGAAAGTTTTCATAAGTAATTCAAGCATAATTGTCAAGAATGAGTAAATCAAGTGAATGTGGGATAAAAATTTATAAACTTCTCAAAAATAATTGTTTTACAAAATATGTCTACTTAGAAATAGTTTGAAAAAGTTTTTTTTATTTGTAACCTGAAATATATTAAGGTTATATTAAGTAATATTCATTAAATTTCTAAGCAAATTAAAATGCTGAAACATTAATTACTAAACATGAGTTTAATCTTATCTACTTTTGACTTATTACAGAGGAACTGGAGATATTTAGGTCTGTTAGTAAATATGTTTTGTGCCACATTGAAGGACTATACTGGGGGAAGCCATATGTTTCTAGAAATTATAAAATGTTTTCATAAAGTGTTGGTATATAACAGTTCAAAATTGGTTACTTCCTAGGTTTTCACTAGAACTTAAGGTTACTAAGTATTAAAAATATTAATTAATACATATAATTAAAGTAAAACCAGAAATAATGAGGGAAACAACTCTGTGTGAGAAAAAAAAAAAAGATATGCTCGGTGTAAGGAAAGTTATAAGGTAAGAGGATGTGTTTTTTGTTATTGTTTTATTATTAAGTAAAAAAACAGAGTAACTTTTGTCCCAAAGTAGAGTAACTGCTTATTTCACAAAGGGAAAGAGGCAGTGTATAGGATAAACTAAATGGATGTAAGAAAGTTGTAGAAGGTTTATAAAAGAAAGACTTTCTAAAAAGGAAATTTGAGTTGAGCATGCTGGCATGCCCTTATAGTCCCAGCTCTTTGGGAAGCTGAGGCAGGAGGATAGCTTGAGCCCAGGAGGATTTTTTTTAATGGTGTTCTACATGTTCAGAGAAACTTCTCTAGTAATGAACTATTGAAACGATTCCTAAAAGTAAAGTCTTTGGGCTAGGAAGTTTAATTTTGAGGCCAGCTTGGGCAACCAAGTGAAATCCTGTCTCTTAAGGAAGAAAAAAAGAAAGAGAAAGAAAAAAGAAAATTTCATGTGTAGTCAAGCTGGCTATGATTGTATACATTTATTTATAAGGTTTTAGTAAAATTAGCTTTTGCATTAATGGCACACTGATACAAATAGAGTATTAGTCTCAGAATATGATTTATTTTACAACTATGTAACTTTCTGTATTTGCTCTTTGAAATATCCTATGTATTCAAGTATTCTAAACTTTTTTTTTAACACTATTGATGAAGTTCTCAAAATCAAACTCTAAATTAAGTCTTTTGGACCCCTGAACTAACTTTAGAATATTCCAAACCGGTCCTGGAATGTCTCAAAGGATTTGTAAAAGAGAACTATTAAACTAATCAGGCTTGGCCAGGTGAGGTGGCGCATGCCTGTAATCCTAGCACTCTGGGAGGCCGAAGTGGGAGGATCGCTCAAGGTCAGGAGTTCGAAACCAGCCTGAGCAAGAGTGAGACCCCGTCTCTACTAAAAAATAGAAAGAAATTAATTGGCCAACTAAAATATATAGAAAAAAAAGTAGCCGGGCATGGTGGCACATGCCTGTAGTCCTAGCTACTTATGAGGCTGAAGCAGAAGGATTGCTTGAGCCCAGGAGTTTGAGGTTGCTGTGAGCTAGACTGAGGCCACGGCACTCTAGCCTGGGCAACAGAGTGAGACTCTAACTAAAAAAAAAAAAAACAAAAAAACCTAATCAGGCTTATTTTATAATTTTATATGGGAGGCACTGTCAAATAATAAGCGATGCTAAACCTTCATTTTTTTGTTGTTTTGTTTTATTCCTGTTTTTGAGACAGGCTCTCTGTCACTCAGGCTGGAGTGCATGGTGTGATCATGGCTAATTGCAGCCTCAAACTCTTGGGCTCAAGCAATCCTCCCATCTCACCCTCCTGAGTAGCTGGGACTACAGGTGTGTGTTACCATGCCTGGCTAATTTTAAATTTTTTGTAGACACAGGGTTTCACCATGTTGCCCAGGCTGATCTTGAACTCCTAGCCTCAAGCAATCCTTCATTCAGCCTTGGTCTCCCAAAGTGCTATGATTATAGGTGTTAGCTACTGCACTCAGCTTAAATTCTATTTAAATTATACTTTTATATTGGTTTATTAATATGAGTATTTCACAAATTGTATGAAATTCCTAAAATCCTATATGTCCTGATATAGTGTGATAAATCATAATTTCAATTATGTTAAAATGTTGTATGCCACAGAAATAACAATTTCCTTGTCTAATGCTGATTATAATGAACTCTCATCAAATCTTTAACCATGACCATTTTAAGTCTTCTTATCCACAGATAGTTGTTTTACTCTGATGTTTCCCTGAAAGCTTTTGAAAGCAACTATAATCCTAAAGTGTTTTCATCTGTAAGAAAATTCATGGAAAGAACTCTGACAAATACAGGTTTCTGATAACTTTAAAATCATACCATCAAATTGGGTAAGAATTTCCAAACTCCAATGAAGGAAATGATGGCTTTGTGAAAGTACTATCCCAAGATTAAGCAGACTTTAATTACATGCATGGGTTTAAATGAACTGATAAGGATAATGTTGATAAGGATAATGTTTTTATGACTTTCTTGAAAATTTTCTGGTTCTTATAACAATATGCATTTGGAAACATTGGTTTTATTACCAAGGCTTTGGCTAGAATGTCATATTTGAGAATGTACATAGAATACCTGGCTTTAAGTGTTCCCAGCCTTTCAGTGAGTAAAAATGTCACTTCTTGGCAGGCCCAGGAACTTCAAGATATTTTGGGGACCTTGATAAGAGTGGAATCCACCCAAATTTACAAGTGTTACAGAAGCAGCCTGATAGCAAGTCCTTGGTTTGGTTTCTTAGCTTTGAGAGGTTTTTAAAAGTCCATCTGAGATTCCTTATAAAAAAATTCCAACACCAATGTGATCAATTACTTTTCTCGCTGCACTTATATATATAAGTAATCAAGCCATGTTTAATGAGGCTAGAACCATCTTGCAAACAAATTGGTCTTACTGTGATTATCTTCGGCAGAGATGGGGTAATTGTAAAGAAAAAATTGTTTCAAAAGAAAACTAGAGTATACCTGTTATTAGATTATATCCCTGTCCATTGCATTTAAGGTTTCATTATGTACCTGCAGACTAAACTGGATCATGAATTCTAGTTTCCTCTAGTACAATTTTCTCCTACTTTTCTCACTTGAAATCACTAAGAACAAGAACTATAGAGGCCCTGCTCTTGAGGCTCTATAGACTGGAAATGGACAGCTCCATTTCAAAGACAAACCTTATGCCTGATGTGTGGAACAATCAGAAAGTCCACCAAAATGCCTAATGCCATAACCAGAGACATTTAAACTGCAAACCAAGTAGAGAAATTGATGACTTTGTGCTGGAGACAACTTTTCCCAACATATCATTACAAGTCTTCTCATTATAATGAGACTCTTACCCCTCTTTTGCTTGGCAGGATAATGCTGTTAGAATTTAGCTTCTGCAGTAACTTGAGGGAGTGTTGGATCTGTCATATTTTTAAAGGTGGAAGATGAAGGGACAATGTGGGCTAGAATTTTTTTTTAAATGGTGTTCTACATGTTCAGAGAAACTTCTCTAGTAATGAACTATAGAAATGGATTCCTAAAAGTAAAATCTTTGGGCTAGGAATTTTAATGGCAGCCATGTCACTCCATAATCAGTCAGAAGCAGAACATTGGTCCACTCCTCTTAAACTTCATTATAGGTTAAAGAGAACTCTGCTAGTACGCATTAACACTTCTGGATGGGCATCATTTGTTAGGTCCCTTTTCCTGTGGCATGGAGTAAATATAAATAAGGCAATGATCAGAAATTGATCCCTCACAATAGCTTCTATAGCATATGCTACTGAAAGGGCTATAGCTGCACAACAGACTTATTTGAATTCTTTTGCTAAAGTTGTAGTAGATAACAGAATTGCTCTAGATTACCTACTGGCTAAACAGAGAATAGTCTGTGCAATTGCTAAAACTTGTTGCATATGGATAAATACATCTGGTATTGTAGAAATCCAGTTACAAAAAATTAACAAGGTTACTTGGTTAAAACTCATAGAATCTTTGGCTGCCTAAGTCTTTGATAAGATTTTAGTTGACTTAGTTAATTGAGACCTTGGCTAAGAAGCAATACTCCAAACTTAGTATTATCCTCCGGATAGTCATAATAATAGTCTCCCTGGTGCACTGTATTCTTTCAAAAAGTTTTCAGCATCTACATGCAGCTATCCACCAAATGCCAAATAGGTTCACTATGGCTGATGAAAGATCAAGGAAACGAGTGATAATGAGAACACCATAACATGTTGGGACCAAAAAATCAGAAAGATGGTGACAGAGAGTAGTGCTAATGGCCTAAGTGAGAACATGACCAAAAAGGGAATTATTAAGTGAAATTTATGGGAGGCCATTGTTTTGGATGGGGATCCTACACTAGGCCCAGCAGACCAGATCAAATCAGAATGGAGTCAACTTGTGCTAAGTGCCACATAATCAAACTTAACTTTGAAATGGGCCAGTTCAAAACAAAACAAAACAGGATATTCACTGAAACCAATCAGAAGGGGAATAGTTTACTTGGGTCTGCACAATAAGGAGGTCCTCTCTGTTTTAACTGTGTAAGGAAACTTTGTTATACGTGCTACATAGCGAACTAAGCGGGGAAGGGGAACAGTGTGGGGTGGGTGTGGGATTGGCACATTTGGGTAGATTGTGCAGCTCAGCCCTCACTGAGAAGCTGACACAGGAGGAAAGAAAGACCTGAGGGGGGTGAGGGGAGAGTCCTGTGGAGATCTAGGGATCGAAGTAGCAATGAGAGATTTTTCCTCGGAAATTAGTTACTGACAAATAGTAATGTGTGTTGTTTGGCAGGTATGAATTGGTCAGAATTAAGGCCAGAACTACCCAAATGGTTCACACAGTTAGGGCATGGTTTAAGACCTTTGACACTGAACAAATTGAAGCTATAACACACATAGTAATTTGTATACTTCTATAAAATGGATCTTTTGGATATGTGTGTAAACAGCTCCTTGCAATAGCCTCTCACTTAAGTGGTTCAGTCCAGTTTTGTAAGTTGTATTTTGCTACTTGAGTAACGATGCTGTACAAAATCCCAACTATTGCTTGAACCTAGTGCCAGGAAACTCAACTGTCACTAGAATCAATGAGCCACAAGTGGGAAAACATTTCTCTATCTGTGGATGTGGGGCTAACAGGTTACCTATTTCATTAACTTCAGGGACAAGAGCTTAAGTGAGCAGAAAAGGCTGATCAGTATATTTAACCACAAGCCTGAATCCCAGCACATTGCAGGATGAAGTCACTACATGGTCACAGTTGGTGACATCACAATGGGGTTTGCCCTATAAAGTCCAGACCATCTTCAGGCTTAGGCTTCTTCCTCCTAAGGGTATGTAGTGGCTGGAAGGGTGTTTTGTTGTTGTTCTTGTTGTGTTTTAAACTGTTAAAAAAGACTAGGTTTTTGTTTCCACACTAAAGTTGCTTTGTATTTGTGGCAAAGGTATTCAACAATACTTTCTTTCCTTTTCAGGTCACAGTTTTATAAGACTGGTTTACAGCTAGTGCTGCCCTGCAGTGGTGCGGACCCAGACTTCATGCACAAAGATCAGGCTGTGATTTCACGCATCTGATAGGTAAGTGATAAAATTCTCAGCTGTACTTTCATTATGCCCTTCTGTACAATCGGCTCAATTTTCAAGTAGGAGTCTCACTGAAATTCTTCTCTTAATATCTGGTTAGGCACTGTGTCCATGTGTACTCAGTATCTCTAGTTGTTAATTATGATAATCATGAGAGCTCGCCCTGTGTGACTGGAAATGTCAACTTATCTGATAATTTCCAACACTCCTGACCTCAGTTTAAACTGAAAGCCCTGGAAAAGGTAATTTTTTAACTAGAGCTCAGTGACTTATAGAAGCATGACTGATGTTTTCATCCAATTTGCACTGGTACTATGGCGGTTTGGTAGAAATCGTGTGTTTGTTAGGCTTCAACCAATATCATAGCTATGTTCTGAGTGCTCAATAGTAGGCAAAGCTAGGCAGGGCTGTTTCAATAACCTGAGACCTTTGAAGGCTATAGGGTAGCCTGATATTTTCATAAATGATAGAGCTGGGAAAGAATTTAAGGTGATCCTGTTTGTCCCTTGGATTGCTGAGGAAAGGACCCTTTATCCTCCTACTCTGGAATCTCTGAAGGCTATTGTGAACCTTCCTTTGTGAAGTGCATTCACTTATGTGGCGTTCTAGGGAAGCAGTTTTACTTACAACTAACTGAAGTCACTGTTGGGAAAGATTCAGCATGAACTCATTTCTTATGTCTTTAAAGAAAGAAAATTACAGCTGTTGAATGTCTATTATATATTATTCTTTTCTCCATAGCTCAGGGCAGACCACAGTACTATTCAAAGGTGAAGAGCTTAATATTATTTATGATGTATTATTCTTTTGTGATTTTAATATTTATTGCAGGCAGTTTAGAAAGTTATACAAGTTTGATGAGGGAGTCATAAGGCACTACTGTCACACCTTTGTATTGGCTTACAACCTCTTATGGATCACACAGTTGGCACACACACTCTCCCAGTGACTTGGGCTAGCTGGCTCAGGGTTCAGCAGACACTGGCTTCTTGCACTGTGTGCCAGGTCCTTGTGGGTATGTTCTTTTAGCCAAAAGCATTGAGGCAGGGAGAGAGAAGGGGACCAGGTGAGAGAGGGTAGTCTGCATCATAAACCCATTATGACCTCATCAACTGTCACACTGATTTTGAACCAATCATTTATTTCTTTAGCTTTTAATTTCCTTGACTAAAATGAGAGTGAAATAATTGAATGGTTCTTAAATTCTTATGGTCAAGGATCTTTTTGAGAAGCTGGTCAATTGTGTGGGTTTTTTTTTTTTAAGCACATATGCACATACACACAAATATTCAGAAACTTCAAGGAAATCTGTGGAGTTCTCTAAAAAGCACCCAGAGTCAAGGCGCTGTCTTTTCTAATTTCATATATATATGTAATTCTAGTGTCTTCCATCATTCAAATCATATCAGTCTCCTGCCTAAAACTCTTCAGTGTATTCCCTTTAAATTAGAATCAAAATCATGACTAACCAAGGGTAGCAGTCAACAATATCTGGCTACTTATGCCCTCATCACTTGCCATTTTCCTCCTTAGTAGCTGTGCTCTAGCCACACAGATTTTCTTTCTTTTTAAAGCTTTACTAATACAGGCATAATTGATAGAAGATAATTTAAAGTGTATAATTTGATCAATATTGCCATATGTGATACCTGTGAAAGGATCAGGACAATGAAGGGAACAGACACATCCATCACACCCAAAAGTCCTGGATCCATCCTCTGTGTGCACAGCAATGAGACCTACATTGTTGCTCCAAAGAGGTTCTTTAGTTAATCATGTTGTGCTTAAGTAGGAGTAATTTATTATTCAGGCAATTACATATTACATATGTATTTTGAAAACACGTATCTGGAGTATTTGAATGTTCCTGAAAAGTTTAGTTTTAATGTATTCTTATGTGGACTAGGGAAAAGCTGAAATGAACCAAAAAAAAAGCAGTGGAAATTTCAAAAAGGGCAAAGCTATTAAATGTTAGTTATAATTGTTTTACTTAGTAATTCAATAACAAACTTATCCTTTTTCTTTTGCAAAACCTTTTAAATATTGTTTCACCTATACAGTACTTTACATTTCTGGACCCAAAACATTACCACCAAATATGAAATTGTTTTTCCTAAAAAAATTATCTTACCATAATCTACCATTTCTTCCTATATCACCTTTAATGCACGTGGAAAAAAACTTTGGCCTTATTAAGTTGATAAATGAAATAAAAGTAGGTTGCTAAAAGGTATTGTTGGAAGCAATCAACCTAAATAAATCCCCATTGCATTCTTCTACCTTTTACTTTACTTTCTTACAGTAGGTAGTTTCTTGGAGAACTATGGGATGGTTACCAGCTTCTATCTGTTATAGTCCCTGTAGTCAGAAAAAATTGAAAATTTTCAAATGGTAATCCTGCACTAGCCCTCTGCTTAGAGTAAGCACAATAGCTTCTTTGAATTTTCCAATTCACATTTTTAAAATGATACTCCTATATCATGGCAGACTTGGTGAAACATGAGGTTGCCTTTTCTTTCCTTGTTAACGTCTTATACAAATACATTTAAGAAAATGCCAGCTTTATGAATATTTTCATGTTATTTATAGACTGTCTTTTGCTTGTTTCATAAAAGCATAGCTATGATTATATTAGGTTCTATGTAAAGTTTCATTTCTTTTTGTTCCTCATTCTACATTAGCATACAGTTTAGTACAGTTATAAAAGATTGAAGCACAAGCAAAAGAACTTGTCAGTTTCAGCCATCTGATAGGGAAAAAAATGTTTACATAATTGTTATCTCTTCAAAATTGAGTTTTCTTGGAGACTATATCATTACTTTCCCTATTATTTTAGAAATTTCAGAATATCACAGAGGTTACTTCAGGGTCCCTGAAGAAATATCTTAGCTTTTCTTGTTACTTGAATAAATTCCGTAAGCTTGAGCACAAAATATTTGTGTGAAACTGTAACTTTTATTTTATTCTTTTTAAAAAAAAATTTTTTTTGAGACAGAGTCTCGCTTTGTTGCCCAGGCTAGAGTGAGTGCCATGGCGTCAGCCTAGCTCACAGCAACCTCAAACTCCTGGGCTCAAGCGATCCTGCTGCCTCAGCCTCCCGAGTAGCAGGGAATACAGGCATGCACCACCATGCTCGGCTAATTTTTTCTATATATATTAGTTGGCCAATTAATTTCTTTCTATTTATAGTAGAGACAGGGTCTCGCTCTTGCTCAGGCTGGTTTCAAACTCCTGACCTCGAGCAATCCGCCCACCTCGGCCTCCCAGAGTGCTAGGATTACAGGTGTGAGCCACCGCGCCCGGCCCTAAAAAAAATTATTTAAAATATTACAGGGGTACAGATGTTTTGGTTACATGGGTTGCTTATGTGCTGCTTGAGACAGAGTTTTAAGTGTGACCATTACCCAGACAGTGTACACTGTATACATTAGGTATGATTTCACCACCCATCTCCTCTTCTGCCTTTCCCTTCTGCTTGATTTCCATTGAGTTTTACTTCCATCTGTGCACATAAGTGCTGTTTGGTTAGTTCCAATTTAATGGTGTGTACAGGTTGTGTTTGTTTTTCCATTCTTGCAATAATTCACTAAGAAGAATGGTCTTCAGTTCTATCCAGATTGTTAAAAAAGGGATTAATTCATTTTTTTATGGCTGAGTAGAACTCCATGGTATACATAATACCCCATTTCATTAATCCACTCATGAATTGATGGGCACTTGGGTTGATTCTTCCTCTTGGTGATTGTGAATTGTGCTGCTATAAACATTCAAGTGCAAGTATTATTTTGACAAATTGACTTTCTTTCATTTGGGAAAATACTCAGTATTGGAATTTCTAGATCAATTGGTAGGTCTACTTTTAGTTCTTTGAAGAATTTCCATACTGTTTTCCCTAAAGGTTGTACTAGTTTGCAGTCCCACCAACAGTGTATAAGTGTTCTTTCTCTCCGCATGCATGCCAGCATCTACTGTTTTTTACTGTCAGAATATTATGGGTGTACAAACATTTTGGTTACATAATGCTTTGTACAGTTTGAGTCAAAGTTATAAGTGTGCCCTGCGGGAGTTAGCCATGCTCTCAGCAAGGATCAGGGCCCTCAGGCAGGGGTCATCACAAGGGCTAAGGAAATATAGAAAATAATAGAATATAGAAATAAAAGACGACACAGAGACAAAAGTACAGTTTTATAAAGTATAGATTTTATAATGTTGGGGGAATCAGGAGACCTCCAGAATTCCCGTGAGCTGTGAGGCCTAGAGTGAAGTTTCACATCAGTATTTATTGGTACAGTGATCGGTTGCCAGGGGTAACAGATTTACATAATAACAGGTAGTTCGTTTTAGGTTAAAAGTCTCCCCAAAAGCTTCTAGAGATCCCTTAATTAACTCTATGTAAGCAAATGGCTACAAAATTTTTCTAAGACAAACTTCTAAGGTAAAACTATCACTTAGCAGAAAGGCTAAACAGAAATATAGTGGCTCTATATTTCTTTATCTAGTTTTTGTTGATTTAGACAGGTAGTCAGGAGTGAAGCAGGAACTGTCCCTTAGGCTAATTACTTTTAGCCTTAGGTGTCTGTTGGGTGGACACTCTTTGATCACTTCTCACCTTGTGGCCTCATGCCAAGCTTTGCCTTATAGAAGTAGGAGTAAGCTGACAGGTTTGAGACACAGCATTGTCTTGGAAAGTGCTGCCACTGACTGGTGAGATGCCCTCCAGAGGCGAGGCAGCTTTTGATCTGTGAACTAACACGTTCAGATATTCCTTCAGGGCAAAGCCCTGCAAAACTCCTGAAATCATTTCTGTCTCTATATTATATAGGGGACATTTCTATAGTGCAACATTGCCTATCACCTAGATATAGTGTACACTGTAGTTGTTAGTTGTTAATATACCCATCCCCTCCAATCTACTTGATTTCTGTTGAGTTTTACTTCCATATGTGCATATAAGTGTTGATCAATTAGTTCCAATTTAGTTTCGAGTACATGTG